AGTTGGCTTGTTAGCTCAATTGGTGGAGCGCTGCACTAGTATCGCAGAGGTTAGTGGTTCGAATCCCGTACAGGCCTGATTTTTTTCAGGTCTGATTTTCGCTATTGCATAAATAGCGCTATCTACTGCGAAGGATCGTACATCATACGTATTTGTTGTTGTTGTTGTGTTTTTTTTTTCTTGGAGGGGAAGGGGCTGTAGAGTACACCTGGATCAGACTTCATCAAAAGGACGAGTGAGAAGAGTGGAAAAACAGCTTTGGAAAGACCATTTCATTTTAAGAAGCAAAAGTTAGTCAGAGTTATGACTAAAAAAGACCATAATTTGACCTTCAATCTTCTAATCCTCGTGCAAAGACGAAAATTAAAGGAATTGTAAAATTAAAGGAACTGTATAATTAAAGGAATTGAAAAATGATACGCCTTGAAAACATTCATGGGCCTGAATCCATGACTTCCATATACTTATTGGTCGCCTCCAGCATCTGAGCTACGAAACCATATTATGGCAGCAAGCTGGCATATTTTGCTGGCCCCTAATAGGGAAATACAATTGCTACTGAAAAGTCTAGTTTAAATAACTGGATTTGTATTTTACTGCATAAAAGTTTTATCATTTTCCTCACCGATTTCCTTTTCTTTCGTAACCACTCTAACAAGTCACCATATGGAACATACTCCAACACCAGGAATTTGTGCTTGCACAATGTGGAACATCCAACAAGAGACACAATATTCGGGTGTGCAGCTAACAACTTCATCTGGGATATTTCATTAAGAAAGTCTAACACTTGCTCCTCGCTTGAATCAACTAGGGAAAACATTAAGGTATAAAAGCTTAAAACATTTTTATTTCATGTATTTCCCTTTTCGAGACGTAACGGCCTTAGAATGTGTATATAATACCTTTTGTGTTAAAGGACCATCAAGGTTCAATTTTGGTTAAATCAAAGGTAATTGAAAATTGCTAAAAAAAATTTAATAATGAGGCGAATGAAATTTACTTTCATAACCTCAAGATTAGACATGCATCTTGGATTCGTTTTGGAAAGCTTTTTTTTTTTTTATCTACTAACCATATTGATAGGACGCTTTTACAAATGTTAAGTCTACATTGCAAAAACTATCACCCAATTTACACAAATTTGGATGTCTCAGTTATGTATGAGATGAAGTAAACCAGAAGTAAAAAACAAATAATTTTGAAACAAAAACCACCTTAAAAGATTTAAAAGGATTTTAAAGTACCTTGCAATTCTTTCACGGCTACCA